CAAATTTTTTAAGAACCGACTTTTTCAGCCATAATTAGAATCTTAAAAAATAATAGAAAATAATCCTACGTAAGTAAAATATTAAGTTGAATTTTATTATAATTGAAATATTTCAAAACAAAGTATTTTAAAACAACTTTAAAATACAATATAATGATTCATTCAAAATCGATGAAATCATACTAAAACAAACAAATCGATATTGTTGAAACATGTCAAGCATGGTATTTGAAAATTAAAAAAAAGTGTTGGCCAATAAAAATAAGCCACAAAAATCGTACGATCCGAAGAATGGTACATATAAATATTTAGTTATAAGCCCAGCTGTATACCCCAGTCGACGAATTTCTGTGGTATGACTGATCTCTCTCTCTCTGTCTCGCTCTCTCTCTGTGTGTGTGTGCTCGCGCGCGCGCGCGCGTGTGTGTGTGTGAGAGAGAAAAACAATTGAATTGAATTGAATTTATTTAATTAGGAGCTAAGAGCTAGCCGCTCTTTGTAGCTCGGCTTGTTATGTCTATTACATATCTCAATATAGTAAGAGCCATTTACAACCTACTTATAGAAAGACATAGAGACAGAAATTGCTTTGTTATTGATTAAATACTTAAGTTATCAATTGTGATATTTCATGAAATTTTTGGTAACATGTATAAGTAGAAAAAATAATAAAAACGAAGAGAAATTTTTAAATAGCTTTCTCGAAGTTGGGCACACCCAGTCTGAGGTTGATTCCATGTATGCAAGAATAGAGGGCCATGTCAGTGATAAAACTATTTTTTCTCAAAAGGAATGGGTTCAAACAATTAAAGAAGCTAAAGAAGAATAACCCTGCTACAATGTGAAAGAAATTGAGCAAAACGACATTTTCAACTTTGATCCTGTAGCAGATTTTTTTGTATGGAAGTCGGTAAAAATAGGAAATGTTCGAGAGATACGTGTTGTGCCAAATAGTTCAGATGTATTCGTAAAATACGGGTGGCGAATAGGAGCATTCTCTTAAAATATGAGGTGACGATGGGCAGCTGGGGTGGCTCTCTGTGGTGGTTGTCGGGGGCGTGGATCGGGAGGCGTGTGTGGCGTTGGCGTGTGTCTGCGGCGATGTGGACGGGGGACTAGTGCCCCATGCCTCCATCGGTGTGGATGCATGGGCTGGCTCTGCTTGTGCTCCTTGTTCTTCGCTTTTTGCTTTTTCCGTGGGTGGCACTCCATTGCTTGATGCGGGCCAACAAAAACTAGCACCCGTCGTGTATAGAAGTAAGCGGCGGTTAAAACATTCTTCTCAGATACATGCATCACACACTCTCACTAAACAAACACAGGGACACTTACGGATTGTTCTGGGTTGCGTGTGGCGGGTCCTTTTCCGAGCTTGCGTTGGAGGCCTGGCAGCGGGTGAAGCCGGATGATGAAGCCCGGGTAAGTCTGGGTAACCACATCTGATATGGCTGTACGCCTCATAAACAAAAAAGACGTGGTGGTCCGACTAATCTAGGCTTACTACCACTGAGGAGGCCATATGGCGGCACCTTAGTGCCTTACGCCAGCCCGTTTTGTTGGGTTGTATGCGCGGTCTCAGGACTGTACACCTGCCGCTCGTCTCACTGGAATGACCGTTGTGTACCAACAAATACATACATTACACACGAACACCATTCCTACTCTTGTTACTCAACGCCAGGGCAGTCTCCGTGGGTGGGACTGAGGAAGAGAGGCGACTCCCGGCCGGCCCGAGCAAGTAGCGGTTTTCTCTGGTAACAGAGAGGGCTGCTGCCCTGGTTTTAACCCTTTCCAAATACTTATTTCTAGAAAAAAAGGGTAGTGCTGGCCTTCGCGGGTCAGTACGACACTAAAAAGATGCTAAAATGAAAAACGTCGACTACAGTGAAAAACAAGTACCCCAGGCGTTAACCTCTCTGAGGGAATCCGCCGGCAGTTCCGATCTGGTGAAAGCCTGGGTGACTGACGCAGGCCCCACGGATTCTGGGAGGGGGGGGGGCCACAAAGACGTGTCTCATGGCCAACAGGGACTGCTAAATGTTCCATGGCCCTTTCTAACGGATAAAGGACGAAGAGGAAGCCTGTCGAGCATAGGCACTAACGACACCGAGGACAGCAACGTGTCAGTATTTAGCAACCAGACAAGGGAGGAGCTTGCCTCTTTAGAAGAAGATGGTGCTAAGCTCAGGGTTAAGCGACAGCAATTGGCTGATAAAGTCCAATCAGCAACGAAAGATATTATAGAGACGCTACACTTAATTAACGGTAAGTACGGCAACACAGCGAACGCTGTTAAGAATGGGCTAAAAGCCGCGCTTGAACACCTTCAAGAGGCAGAGGTGCTAAGAAAAGGCTTTCTTTATGCAGAAGAAAGGTATGCAATTGCTTGGAAGTCGTCATTTGAATCCCTGCAGTGGAGGGAATAAAGGCGAGATAATTTTCGACGGCATGTACAGAAAAAAACCCTGAACACTACCCTAAAACAAATAGAACGAAGTAAAAGAAACAGGAGCCCTGAGAAACGCCAGCAAACGATGCCTCTAAAGAAAAAGGAAACAGGCAGTGGCAAACAAGAAAAAATTCTCCCAAACGAAAAAACAAGCCAGAAGAAAAAAGTGGATGCGACAACAACAGTAGTAGTGAAGATGGCCGAAGGGCAGACCTTTGCAAAGGTGCTAAGGATGATGAAGGCGAACTTTGACCCTGATAAGGCTAATGTGGCAGTCCAAAGTTTTGTCACTACAGGAAAAGGAGACATACTTATTAAGGCCAAAGGTGTGGAGAATGCTTCTGCATTCTCACAGCAAATTGAAAAGTCGGTAGCTGGACAGGGTACTGCTAAAATTAGCAACAGAAAAGTGACATTAGAAGTCTAAGATCTGGATGCCATCGTAGAGCAAGATGAGGTCAAAGAGGCTTTCGCTAGGACTTTTGAACATCAGAGCCAGGAGCCAGAAGTAGCTCTCTTAAAGCCAAATGCCAGAGGACAGAGGCTGGCGTTGATAAAGGTGGAC